AATACACAAAAATAAGGTGAGAAAATAAAGAAATAAGTCCGATTCGGGTGTCCTTAATCTCTCTGATAAGGCGTTGCCCAAATGCTGCTCCACTTTTGAGTTGTCGTGTTGGGTTGACCGTTTTTAGGTGTCGGTTTCTAAGGATGTAGGGGTTATAACCCCTACTCTTTCTCACTCTGGGCGAACAGAGACGGTGTCTATGCCCGTCTCATCGCTGGGTTTTGGTCAGGTTGATGGCAGCTCAGCTGCTGGTCATCAGTTCACTGAAGCACTGCCCGCTTCAACAAGTTCCGAGCCTGAAAAGGCTCTCCCTCTCTCTCTTGAGTCTGGAACCGTCCCAGACTCTCTCATAGGCTCTTCTCCTCTCAAGGAGCTTCCAATCCCGGAGTTCCAGGAGGAGAGCAAGTCCTCTGAGGATGACTCTGTGCTTGCCGCTCCGGCAAGCGCAGTTCTTGTGCCCAGTAGACATTCCGAAGAGAGAATCAAGTAATTGATTCTCTCCTCCATAATGGGGAGACGGCGCGGACTGGGCAACAGTCTGTGCAACTTGCACTCCCAATGCTCAGGCTTGGCAGCATTCCTCTCATTCTGAGAGGCTAATGACCTCTCAGAATCTCAGCTAGGTCGGCACTGCTCAGTCTCTGAGGAGTATCTGCCATTTCTGGAAGCGCCCTCGCGCTTCACCATAAATTAGGGTCACTTGAATATCTGGCCCTGATTACTTCCTCCCATCCCCCGAGAGGGTCTAGACAGTCTTTCTGTCAACCTTTCGACCGGTTTTGGGTGGTACTAAGTGTCATTCAGCTCATGCTGAATGCCTACTCGCTAAAGCGTGTTGCACTTCGACAATTTGAGGCCTGCATAAAATATGCAGCCCTCATCACACACCCTCACTCTGATACGCTAGAGACAGTCTGTGCAACTGTCTCTCGATCTATTCCAAGTGCCATCAAGCACTTGTTGATTTATCTGGAATTTTGGGCCAGAAGCGCTCTGCGCTTCGGGCCTCAAACACCTTTTACCCATTCCTATGGGTAATTCATGCATTCTCCCATTCAGGGAGGAGAGGGATAAGCACACTACTGCTTATCCTGAGTCTTGAGCCATAGAAGCGCCTGCGCTTCGGGCCACATCGACTTTTTACCTTCTTTTGGGTAAATTGCGCATTCTCCCCCTTGACAATGATCCAGGGAGGAGTGGCCTTAACTGGCCTGTGGGTCCATTGACTCTACCACCTCCTAGACAACTGTCTAGGGAGGAGCAGGCCTTCACGGGCCTGGTGTTTATTTATTTCTTTATATTTCCTTCGGTTCTTGTATGGTAAAGGTCTAACCACCTTTGTCACCTCCATTCATCTATTATTTCTTTGTTTCTTTTAATTATTTTATTGGGAAACCAAACACTCAAACTGCTTTATGCAATATTAATATCGCAAGGGAGGAGAGTGTAAGGAATGCCCCACTATAAACAACATACAACACATGTAATTACATATATAAATGATGCGGGGTATGATGAATGGAGTTTCACTCCTTCCCCCCACCTCGTTGAAATATAGTCTATTCAAGCTCATATCTTTGATGGACTTGAGGAGTGAGGAGATACAAGGTCGGCACCTACACCGACCTTACACAAAGGCGATTAAATGGAATGAGCTAACCAATACAATGGGTATAAGCGGAGGTGGGGTCAAAGTCCGAGGTTGGAGCTAAGACCAGAGGTTCCGGAAACGGAGACATGAACGGGGTTCCAGAGTGGAGGTCCGGAGTCAGGAGCATAGGTGTTGCGTGCTTGTCTGGAAGGTGTCGAGGTTGAGGTCGGACCTGGAATGTTCTGGAGTCGGACCAAAGGTGGTGTTGGAGCCGGAGGTGGGATAACCTCTTGGGAGTCGGCAAGGAGAAGGTGATGGAAAGGGAAGTAGGGCTCTGGAGTCAGTTTCGGAGTTCTGGGAACCCGGAGCGGAGGTCGGGATTGTATGGATATGACACCATGGAGTCCATGCAGAGTCTGATAAAATGGCAAAACTTCATGACTGGCAAGTACCTGAAGATCACCAGGAAGTACTACGCTTCCTGGGACTCATTGAGTATCTCACCCACTTCATGCCAAATGTTAGTGCATATACAGGTCTGTTACAGACAATATGCACCAACTACTTACCATTCTTCTGGATCCCTTTACACCAGAAGTGTTTCAACAAGATCAAAAATCTTGCCTGTAAAACACCGATTCTGAAACCCATCGTCTGGAGCACCCCTACGGGCCTCTCTGACAATGAACAATTGAGGTTCCAAGTCTGGGTTATCACAGACACCTCCCCAGCAGGCGTCGGTGCTATTTGTTAGAACGGGCAGATTCGGATGACTCTGGAGTGGAATCAGAGACTTAGCGTGGAAGGACCTTGGCCTCAGCGACTCAGGTGGAGCGCTGTGCCATCGCTGGTTGTCCTGGGGGTCCCTAATTTCGGATCTAGCAGAGGGAAAGTCTCTTGGGGGAATTCAAGTTGATTTCGGACTGAGGTTACAAGTTACTAGGTACATTGTATATAAGGAGGGGTCCGGAATCAAAAGGAACAAGGGTAGGACGAAAGGAGACAAAGGGAGATGGAAAGAGGAACAACACTGAGGGTCAAGGGTTTGACTCAATGGTGTTTCTCAAAGGAGGAATGAAGGGCCAAGGCCCAAGGAGGAAGGAAGGAGGATGGGAGTCGGGAATGGCTAGCTGACTGAATAGAAGGAAGCAGCAGCCCAAATAGGAATGAGGGAGAATAGCGGAATTGAAATGGGCAATGCAATAGTTGCAAGGTCTGGAGTAAGTCCGGAAAGTCCAAACTCGGAGGTTAAACTCCGGAATATTGGCAAACGTAATTAAATGGAATGAGCTAACCAATACAATGGGTATAAGCGGAGGTGGGGTCTAAGTCCGAGGTCAGAGCTAAGACCGGAGGTTCCGGAGATGGAGATGCAAACGGGATTCCGGAGCAGAGGTCTGGAGTTGGGAACATAGGTGTTGCATGCTCGTCTGGAAGGTGTCGAGGATGAGGTCAGACCCGGAATGTTCCGGAGTCGGACTGAAGGTGGTGTTGGAGCCAGAGGTGGGATAACCTCTTGGAAGTCAGCAAGGAGGAGGTGGCAGAAGGGAAGTAGGACTCTGGAAGTCAGGTTCGGAGTTCCGGGAGCCCGGAGCAGAGGTCGGGATTGTATGGATATGACAGACAACCTGTATAATATTAAGCCACATTACATCATGTAGATACACATATATAAGATGCATGGGTAGGAGGAAAGGCTCCTCAGCTTTTACTCCCCCATTAACAATATAGCATATTTGTGTGATGGACCGGGAGTGTGAGGCGCTTATAACCACACGCTTACACTGTTTTACCCATTGTGGTGACATTCGTTGGTCGGACATGAGCAGAGTCGATGATGGCTCGCCATTCTAGTTGGTCTGGGACCTTTTCTGCCAGGTATCTTCCATGGTGGTGTCTGGGCGGCTCAAGGTGGCTTTTAGGCATTCGAGGGTGGTGGATGTGTCCTTGGCCATGGCAGCAAAGTCCCAGTTTCTGAGCCAGTCAGATGTGAAGTCAGTTGCCAGGTGCACCGAGAAGCTGAAGATTTTTGAGAACCAAAGCTGGTGGTGTAGTGTAAGGAAGGGGTAGTGATTTACTTATTCCTTTATTATTCCTTGTTGTACTTTTGTATTTACATATGTATGGTGCGGAGTCAGGTAAAGGGTTCTTTACTCTTCTCCACACCAACGTCGAATACTAAGTTCTATACAACCTAGATATCGACTGACCTGAGGACTGAAGAGGCACCAAGGTCGGCACCTACACCGACCTTACATGTAGTAGGGTTGCAGCGTCTTGGTAGGTCAGACCTTCGATCATTATGCCCCATGGGAGGGGGTCATCAGTGTTAGATCAGGCAGATTTGGATGACTCCGGAGTGGAATCGGAGACTTAGCGTGGAAGGACCTCGGCCTCAGCGACTCAGGTGGAGCACTGTGCCATTGCTGGTTGTCCTGGGGGTCCCTAATTTCGGATCTAGCAAAGGAAAGTCTCTTGGGGGGGAATCAAGTCGATTTCAGACTGAGGTTACAAGTTACTATGTACATTGTATATAAGGAGGGGTCGGGAATCAAAAGGAACAAGGGTACTCCGAAAGCAGACAAGGGAGCTGGAAGGAGGAACAACACCGAGGGTCAAGGGTTTGACTCAATGGTGTTTCCCAAAGGAGGAGTGAAGGGCCAAGGCCCAAGGAGGAAGGAAGGAGGATGGGAGTGGGGAATGGCCAGCTGACTGAATAGAAAGGAAGCAGCAGCCCAAATAGGAATGAGGGAGAATAGCGGAATTGAATGGAGCAATGCAATAGTTGCAAGGTCCGAAGTAAGTCCAGAAAGTCCGAACTTGGAAGTTAAACTCTGGAATATTGGCAAAGGTAATTAAATGGAATGAGCTAAACAATACAATGGGTATAAGCGGAGGTGGGGTCAAAGTCCGAGGTCGGAGCTAAGACTGGAGGTTCCGGAGACGGAGATGCAAATGGGATTCCAGAGCAGAGGTCCAGAGTCAGGAGCATAGGCATTGCATGCTTGTCTGGAAGGTGTCAAGGTTGAGGTCGGACCTGGAATGTTCCAGAGTCGGACCAAAGGTGGTGTCAGAGCCAGAGGTGGGATAATGTAAGGAGTGGTAACCCCACCCTTCATTCATTATTTTATTGTATATTTGTCTCAATTTAAACATGTATAAACAATGTATATACAATAATGTGGGAATTTGGGAAAAGGAACAGAACTCCTTTTCCTCCCCATCATTGATAATTAAAGCTCCATACAGCTCAACTTTATTGATGACCTGAGGATTGAGGAGAACTGGGGTTGGAACCTACACCAACCCCTTACACTTTTTTGAGCTTAATAGGCTTTATTCCCACACCTGTGCACGCATATTTGCGTGCACGGGTTATTCAACATCACCCACTATCTGCCTTCTAGACATGGAGCCTAGAAGGGTGGCAGATTTTCCACCAGCTCTGCAAAGAGCTGATTCTATGCGTGAAAGTGCATATGGTTCCATGACCAAATCCAATGCTGGTGATGCCAGCATTGGCCAACCCAATCTGTACCAGATTGGTGTTTCCAATGTACCTCTAGGGCCTGTTGATCCCCCAGGTGCATTGGATGGTTATAAATCGCTAGCTGAGCTTAACACACTCAGCGAGCATGAATTGCGCGAGTACAGCGCAATGGTCAAGCAAAGGGCTGAGGAAGCCCAGAAAAGGGTTGACACGACCTGGCAAAAGTTAAGGGACATGTTCCATGCCCTTACTGCTAGCCAGGGCAGCCTAGTCAGCCATCTAATGATGGCCTATAGAGGGGGGGCCATTTGGCCTTCAAATGGGCCTAAAAGGGGGTATTTACTAGTGGATGTCCTGGACATCCTGGTGAAGACTGATCCATTCACCAGGACATCCCCAGGATGTCCTAGGATGTCCTGGGATGTCCTGGGATGATTCTATAATTCAATCAAATTCAATCAAATTTGTATTATTCAGGGTAGACATTCAAAACATAATGCCGCAATTGAATCTGATTTCCCATGACAATCCTCAGGCTGCTCAACTGTCTGTGCACAATGCTGGCCACTGTCTGAAGGGGTGTCAACACTGTTTCCCATGTCCCCAACACACTTTACACAGATGGATAGCCCCTTTGAATAGCTTCCAGAATATATATTTTGAGACTGAATTGACCAATAAATCATCGAGAAAAATGCAAAATACTTTTTTGGACACGAGTCTTTTGGGTTAGTGTGGCTGTCCACCTCATGTCTGTGCATAGTGCTGGTCATTGTCCGGAGGGGTGTCCAGACTGTTTCCCACGGTGTCAACACATGTTGCGTAGTTGGATAGCCCCTTCAAATAGCTTCCAGAATATATAATTTGAGACTAAATTGACAAGCAAGTTATTGAGAAAAATGCAAAATACTTTTTTGGATGCAAGTCTTTGGGATAGTGCTTGGGCCACTAAATTTCACTGACAGTCATCGAAGTCATCGAAATTCCCGGGTCACTGATATCCCAAAGACTCGTGTCCAAAAAAGTATTTTGCGTTTTTCTCAATAATTTATTGGTCAATTCAGTCTCAAAATATATATTCTGGAAGCTATTCAAAGGGGCTATTCAACTATGTAAAGTGTGTTCAGACCGTGGGAAACAGTGTTGACATCCCTCTAGACAGTGGTCAGCATGTGCACAGACCATGGGATGGACGAGTATGGCATTCCGGGACAATTTGCAACCATTGAATCAAACTGAATTAGGACATCTGAGGACGTTTGCAACAAATGAATGAAACTGAATGGCCAGGATGCCCCAGGACATTTATGGTGAAAAAGGCCTTTTAGGCCCCATGCAAACGTCCTGAGGTCCCCCCTATAAAGGCCCACATAGTGGTTGTCCAAGGTGGTGTGGAAAGTATGAAGAAACAACACAAGGTGGAATGTGTGCAGCACCTGTGGCATGATAAGAAGAACAGAGGTAGGACATGTGTGCCTGGTGTGCGTAATCAGAGTTTGGGTATAGACCGGAAACATAGTAAAAATGAAAGGAACAGGAAAGGGGCATAGCAGACAAGAAGAAGTGCTCCATTTCACAGATGAACCGGGTGTGTGTGGAATGATCCCTGGGTGGGAGAGCAGTTGGGACAGATAGAAAGTTTTGATTGATTTATCACCAGCAGGAGGATAGCTCTCTTGAGTTTAGGCACTCATGGGAGAAGCGAATAGGAAGTGCTCTACCGATTCAGGCTCTGGGCATAAAGGCAGTTGGGCAGGTCTATATCTATCCATCTGGCTGCGCGTGGAGCTACATGTGTGGATTGCATCAGCAAAAAATTGTTATGCTCCTGAGTGCTCCGGAGTATCGAGAGCACTGGGAGAATCAGGAGGAGATTGGCCGGTCCAGGAACAGCCCATTTCCTCCGGAGTTGGCTAGGTACTCCAGGGCACTCCCAGGAGGGCCTGGAGCATTGCTTTGTGCACAAACATATCCAGTAAATACAATTTAAATGCTTCAAAGTGTATAGGGGTGAGAAGCTTCTGGGAGCTCCTGGAGCATTTGAAAATGAAAAGGAAAAAAAAGAGGGAAGATCCCCCATGAATACCTCCTACCACAAGACTAACACAACAAGACACTGCTTAACATTTAGATCAAACACTATACTATATATCAAGGACACTGAGACTCACCAATACACAATCAAAATTTATGGCCTGATATATGATTAATCTGGCAACTTAATCACTTTCGGGCTGGCAGAATATGGGAGAGGGGGAAATGGGGGAGAATGAGGGGGGGAAATGAGGGGGAAATGAGGGGGAAATGAGGGGGAGAATGAGGGGGGGAATGAGGGGGGGAATGAGGGGGGGAATGAGGGGGGAATGAGGGGGGGATATAGAGGGAAATGAGGAAAATTTGAAAAATAGGGACTTCTAAAAAGTTGAAAAAAATAATTAGGGAAAAAATCAAAAAAATTCAGGAACTGTAGTGCCTTTGAAGTGCTTTCAGGATATATAATTATTTGCAAAATTGAGGAAGAAATGATGGAGAAAAATGGAAAATACTTTCGGAGACCCGAGAAAGAATGAGAACTGAATTGATGGGAAAGTCTGAAAATTGAATAGGGAAGTGAGGGGAAGCCTTGTAGCATTGTTATTTTCTGCTGTTCTAATTTTTCCTGATTGTGCTTGGTCTCACTCCCAGCTGCTACTGGATACTCCTGGATACTCCTGGAAGCTCCTGGGAGGGTCCAGGTGTGTTGTTTGAGCAAGACATGACGACGCGCCAGTACGCATATCATGCCCATATCGGCTATCCGATATGATACCCTTTTACCATGTGTTTCATGTTTCACTGTTGATTGCCTTCCACATGTAGCGCTGTCGCGTATCTCATTTTCTTATCACTTTTGTCTGATATCCGTGTTATTACTTTAACTACTTATACCGCTGTGCAGTTACAATATCAAGTTGGTTGTTCCCCCGTTATCCAAGTGTCCCCACTGAGAGCTACATAACAACAAGGTGTCATATCCATACAATCCCGACCTCCGCTCCGGGCTCCTGGAACTCCGAACTCCGACTTCCGGAGCCCTACTTCCCTTCCGTCACTTTCTCCTTGCCGACTCCCAAGAGGTTATCCCACCTCTGGCTCGGACACCACCTTTGGTCCGACTCCGGAACATTCCGGGTCCGACCCCAACCTCGATACCTTCCAGACAAGTACGCAAAACCTAAGCTCCTGACTCCGGACCTCCGCTCCGGAATCCCATTCGCATCTCCGTCTCCGGAACCTCTGGTCTTAGCTCCGACCTCGGACTTTGACCCCACCTCTGCTTATACCATTGTATTGGTTAGCTCATTCCATTTAATTACCTTTGCCAATATTCCGGAGTTTAACCTCCGAGTTCGGACTTTCCAGACTTACTCCGGACCTTGCAACTATTGCATTGTCCATTTCAATTCCGCTATTCTCCCTCATTCCTATTTGGGCTGCTGCTTCCTTTCTATTCAGTCAGCTAGCCATTCCCCACTCCCAACCTCCTTCCTTCCTCCTTGGGCCTTGGCCCTTCATTCCTCCTTTGAGAAACACCATTGAGTCAAACCCTTGACCCTCGGTGTTGTTCCTCTTTCCATCTCCCTTTGTCTCCTTTCATCCTACCCTCGCTCCTTTTGATTCCGGACCCCTCCTTATATACAATGTACATAGTAACTTGTAACCTCAGTCTGAAATCGACTTGAATTCCCCCAAGAGACTTTCCCTCTGCTAGATCCGAAATTAGGGACCCCCAGGACAACCAGCAATGGCACAGCGCTCCGCCTGAGTCGCTGAGGCCGAGGTCCTTCCATGCTAAGTCTCCGATTCCACTCCGGAGTCGTCTGAATCCGCCCATTCTAATACCAGGAGCAGCTAATGGAAAATACTTTTGGAGACCCAAGAACTGAATTGATGGGAAAGTCTGAAAATTGAATAGGAAAGTGAGGGGAAGCCTTGTAGCATTGTTATTTTCTGCTGTTCTGATTTTTCCCAATTCTTCTTGGTCTCATTCCCAGCTGCTCCTCAATACTCCTGGAAGCTCCTGAAAGCTCCTGGGAGGGTCTAGGAGCAGCTGGGAGTGAGACCAAGAAGAATCAGGAAAAATCAGAACAGCAGAAAATAACAATGCTTACAAGGCTTCCCCTCTCTTTCCTATTCAATTTTCAGACTTTCCCATCAATTCAGTTCTCATTATTTCTCAGGTCTCCGAAAGTATTTTCCATTTTTCTCCATCATTTCTTCCTCAATTTTGCAAATAATTATATGTCCTGAAAGCACTTTAAAGGCACTATAGTTCCTGATTTTTTTTTTTGATTTTTCCCTAAATTTTTTTTTTTCAACTTTTTAGAGACCAAAATTTTCCTCCCACTGTTCCTGGCACATTACATACTCCTCACCACTCCCAGCTGCTCCTGAACCCCCTCCCAGGAGAACACTATTGGCTCCAGGAGTGCCCAATCTGCTGTTTTGTCTCCCACATGCTCCAGCCACTCTTGATGCTCCGGAGCATAACGGACTTTTGCTGATGTGCAGCTGGAAGATGTGGGGATGCGGTGTCCTTGAGAAATGTGCCAGGGTTCTGCTTGTCACGGATGCAGTGGTGGAACACTGCCTTTGTGGTAGAAGCCTTGTCTGGGCAGCATTTGGTGACTGAGGAGTCGATGGCCTGCTGTGTCGGAGCGATGGGCGCCCAATCCCTTTCTATCACCAATTCCTCTGAGAGTCTGTAGATGGCCAGTTGCGTCTGGGGGTCAGGAGGAGTAATAATGCTGGAGAAAAGCACACGTGCGAGAGTCGAGAGGCGGTGAGTGGTGGGAAAAAGCAAACAATATAAAGAGGGTGGGAAAAATGCTAAGGAATACCAGGCTGGAAAGTGACCTTGCAAGCAAGGTAAAATCCTTGATTGCAGGAACAAGCCGGAAAAATCCGAGGCAGAGTTCATCAGGGGGGTCCTGCCTAGCGAGAGCCACCGAAGATACATGGAGCCGAAACGACAGGATGGGGGTTGGTGCGTGGTGCGAGAAAAGAGGTGAGATGAATACTGCTAACTTGCATCGCACCAATATTGACCGGTGGAAGTGACAATGTCGGAGGAAGGGGGGATGGGGCTGTGTCGAGGTGAGCAAAAAGGCGAGCGATGAACGCCGCCGATATTTACACATAAGTCATGTCTGAACAAGTAGACATGAAAACTTGGCAATGAGGCGATAAGATAAGAAAAAAGCCAAACGCACCGAGATCGAATACGATACCATGTCCGCTCCATCCAAGCAGGTAAGCTCCGGATTTGCGTGGAGGGGGGGCGAACTTGCCTGCAACCGGGGCGGCTTTGTCTTGGCCTAAGGTACGGTCGAAATCCCCGTCTACGCTGGCAAGTGCATAGCAGGACGCGAGGCCGCTCACTGAGACGAGCAACACCGGCCTGCCAGCTCGAGCACGGTGCGCACCGTTGGACCACTCACGAAAACCGCCAAACTGCACCGTCTCCATCAATGCCAAGGCCCGAACCGATAAGCCATGCCCGAAGCCGATGCACCAGTGCCGTCGAGCACGAGGTTCCACCGGAGCCCAAACGGGCTGTCAATGTCTATGGGAATCGCACGTACACATTTCACCGTTGCTCGAAAACCCCGAATTTTCATTAGTTTCGCGACGAGATATGATGGAGTGTTTGCAATCGGTTCCTCCCCCCTCGCTTTCGCGGCACTGGTGTCGAGCCCTGCGCTGCGTTGGTAATCTTGCTTTGATGATGGTTCGACGTCGGCACCAGTGCTGGGTAACCCAACAAGCCTACGGTCGAAGTTAAACAGCGCGAAAAATTTGTTTTACGAAAATTCACAGCAACACGAGTGAGGCCTGTAGCGTGCAAACGGCTGGGTCACAGAGATGTTGTCAGCGTAACATGGAATGTATAGCACAACACCTTCCGGTGCTCACGGATGCCCACTGAGTGAAAGAAGCCATAACACCTCATGCAGCTCAGGCATCTCATTTGATTTGGTGCCAGCCCACGGAACAGATTGCCATGGTCGTTGGGCGAACTCGTGTCCCGGCACACCGCAAGAATATTCATGGTCGGAAATCATACTAGCCAGGGGCATTGTGGTTGGGCTGAGAGAATGGATCTATTTCTGCAGGTGCCGGTCTTCCTGGCGTGAGAGATTAGTTTGAGATGATGGTCTCTTTTAGCAACTAGAAGGGCTGCTGCGCCGCCGTGACCTTGCTTGGGAATAAAATGGGATATTGCTTTCGGTCACACTAGTGCACGTTCCACCAGATTAATGTATTATTTCGGAAACTAAACTAGCCGGTGGAGACTGACTTTGGATGGGTGGTGGGATGATAAATAATAGAAGAGTTACCGTTAGCTTTTTGTAGAATCCAGATTCTTTTTTTCTGGGCGTATGTATGTATGTATGAAAAAAAAGCAAAAAGGTGATCAACAAAGAATAGATTTGACGTTATTGTGCATGTGTTTCCCCTTCCCCATGTTGGCCATCTATTCCTAATGGTATCGTTGCTTGGTTGGGGCCCATGTAAGCACGCTCTGAGGGTGAGCAAAGGTCCAGGGAGTTCCACTCTTTCGGTGCCAGTTTTCTCATCGTCACATAGCTCGTCCGGGGCCTTATGGTTCTCAGCAAGACCATGTTCAATGTTTTTCATGAGGCCTAGGTTGCACGGTGTCTTCCAAATGGCCAAGCATTCCTGAAAGCCCTTAGCGCTCCGCGGAATTTTGTTTCGCAGGTCATCCACACAAGATTAAGGCCATTGGGCCTTAGCTCTTTGAGTTTTGAGTCCGGCATGGTAAATGTTGATGTGATACAGTTCAACGATTGAAGTGCTTGAGAGTGTGATCCAGGCTCAACAACATGCATGGATGGTGATTGTCCGCATCGACAGAGCAAGTGGGTTCACGGTTGAAACTCTCCGACATCGTTTCGTGGGAGCTTTCGTCATTGGAGTGAGAATCCAAGTCAAACACATCATAGACTGTTGCAGGGGGCTAACTGGGCGTTGTCGGATCGCCTGTTTGTGCCTTGAGACTCTGTGGCAGATCCGTGGCCTCAGTCTCATCAAAGTGCAAGTCCGCATTGGAAACATCATGGGCAGCTTCGCAGGAGCTCTCTCCATCAAAGTGTGCGAACAAGCAAAAACCGTTTGGCAAGGGATCTTATCATTGAGACATGACTGAAGATTGAAGACATAATCATAGATTGTTCCGCAGGAGTCTTCATCCTGGATCCACATGTCCGTGAGGGGACTTATGACCAACTTGGCCTCTATGCCGGCTACTGTTGGAAATGCGAGTCACCGGAGATATCCGGGGGCATGTGGAGGATAATGTGGAGGATTTTACTAAGCGCGCAGCCTGCACAGGAGTTGCCTTACGTAGATTTTCCTCTTTATTGTATATATATACGCACGGACATTATCCCCAAATCACTAGTTATATTCCCGCTTCTATCTTACATCTGTGCTACGAGTGAGCCGCGGGGAACCGGGTTGCCTTATCCGGAACGCCGTTTACAACAGCTACACTGCTTCGGGACTTGAGATCGACGGAAACTAAGGTGAGATGGGCTTCTGTACAGCCTACAGCACGCTTTGGGGGGTATGAACAATAATTAATAGACGAATAGACGAATAAATTCGGCCAACGGGAACATAGAAGAAAGCGACCATGTGATACATTTCTGCCAGCACGTGTGAATAAAGAATGAATTGGAGGGTGGGAAAGTGAAAATTCCCACGAATTCCTGACTCGAAGGTGACCTTGCATCGGCGTCTTCGCACCTCGGTGCAAGCCGATTGAGTCATTTATTGTGACGTCAGCATTCATCGGCAGGCCTCCAGCCTCTGTGGCTGGGTAATATTAGATGGGTAGGCCTATTGTGCGTTTGGGGTCTTTATTCCTACTGTCAATACAATGATTACTGATTATTTGGTGAAGTTGGCATTGAGTTTGCAGTTTACTAAGAGTGAACGGCCGTCACAACGGCTGTTGCCGGTTTTCCTCGCTGCTAAACACTAGAACAGTTGCCCATGGCCACTTCCATCACTCTTACCTGCTTGGCGGTTGACCGTGGAGGAAACCACCTCGGTGCCGTCTTTTTTCTGAATATGTCGCCTCGCGAATCTGTTGACTTCCTTTGCGACGCTATCAAGTCTAAATTAGCCCACCAACTGGATCATCTGGATGCGAACCAGCTGGTTTTGTGGAAGCTCTCATCGCCGATACCAAGGGGGGTTACAGGAGCTGAAAAAATAGCTTTCCGTCAAAGGATAAAGGCAATTGAGTTCCCTGATCCTGAATGCGACGAGGCACTGGAGGGAAACGGCCCCGTGCAGATTCTCGACCCTGAGGACAGGATATCCAAATACTGGCAGGACGATCCCGAGAAAAGGCATCTCCATCTCATCGTCCAAGTGCCGCATGACGGAAAGAGGAAGCGTGAGGATCCGGGTAGGTCTTTGTGACTTTGTATTTTATGGCCAAACTCCTCGCTTGTCTGCAGTCGATATTTCAATGGAGCTGTACGAGAAATGGAACGTTTCACTCCCAATCACTCCGAACGTTACCGATTTGAGTATCTATCTGGAAGCACCTCTTGGGCCCGAAGAAAAAATTCCGATTTCCGATCTGCAATGGCGGAGCCTCCTGCACACAAATCCAAACAGTCCTGAGCTTCTTTGCTCTTCAAAAGACCTTGAGACGCTCTTCATCAAGAATGAGGACGAGATGGCTAGCTTCATCTGGCCCGTAGTACAGGGTGCAATTCTCTGGACTCCACCGAACTCATCTGGTACTGAAGATTCCTTCCATGCATTCTGGGACAACAACATCCTACACATTCTCACGACCTGTCTTGGCAATCCCCAGTGGATCCGCAACAGCATCCGTGGCACGAATACTGGGTCTTTCCGACCTGATCTTGGTCTCCTTTTGCAGTTGGCCTGCTTATTCCGGGGGGAGGAGAAATGTCCATTGTTTTCTGGAACACATCCTCGTGAGGAGCTCGCCGACAAGACTCGATGGGCCTATGGCCCTGCTCAGTATGTGCTCGGTATGTGATTCTTCTCCTACACTACCTGTTGTTGACCCGCGTATTTAGGCTACTACGCAATTGGTGTTGATATCACGCTTGTGGCTATCCGACCCGGCACAGACGCACAGGGAGATGAACAAATTATTGTAGAAGACATTCAAAACACAAATCTGTCAACAAGGCGGGGACGTATTGGAAATGCGGTAACGTTGATCAGACTGGTCAAGGTTCTCCGAGCATTAGAACGTACTGTAAAAAAAGATGTGGATTCTGATATGTTCACATTGGAACGGTGAGTGTCATTTGTGTATCCTGTTTGCATTGAACCTAACCGTGAAGTTAGTGATGATGGAAAATCTCTTGAATTTTTCAAGCACAAGATACGGAAGATTTATCGCGTAGAAGATAAACTCAAGGTTTCCTTTCTTGAATCTATCTACAAAAAACTCAAAGCAAAAGGCGTGCCAAATGTCGACACAGTTAGGAAAATTGAAATGTCCCATCCAGAACATGGTTGCTTTGTTGAACTTGCGCCTCGAGGCGACTCCAGCGGTCCACAGTCTGCTGAGGATGTTAAAAATGCGGTCATCTGTGTCCTCAAGGCCCTCCAGGTAAGTATTTTGATCGGATTATTTAATTGAGTTCATGTAGTCTGTAGGTATCACACGCTGTGCCACCGGTGTTTCATCGAGATATTCGTTGGCCAAATGTCATGAAAAGCCTTACCGATCCCAAGCAATGGTTCCTCATCGACTGGGAAGATGCTGCCATCCCTCCAACGAAAGCAGCCCCCAATTTGGATTCTGAAACACATGCACCACAAGTATTTAAGGATGGCCATGGCGCAGAGGTTGACCTTTGGGGTGTTGGGAACCTCATTACTAGAGCTGGTGTGCCTGGTCTCCCTGAAAACCTCCGTTCTCTTGGATGGAAGTTTGTAGAGGGTTCTGTTTTGTCAGCTGAGCAAGGACTTAGAGAAATAACATCACTGTGATATCCAAATTGTGTAACATATCAACTACATGTGCAGAGATAGTGCAAATTCAAGTGCCTTTCTTACTTTAAGTACCATTGCAAGTTTATAGGCAGACTCGGTGCCAGTCGCTCACATGAGTTTCGCCAAGATTGTCGGAAAACTGGGGATTCCGTTGTAACGCATTTATGGGGCAGTACAAGGGTGTTACGGAATTTTCTGGGCATTACAAGGCATTATGCACTACATATTGACCTGTTTTGACCCCACTCATCCCTGTGAACCAATACAATCATGGGGCATGCATGTCCCTCCAAACGGCCATCCGGCCAAAGCCGAGGCACCTGCTTACATCACACTTGTAAGCACCGTTGTAGGTGATGTGCACATTGATTAATATCCTTAATGCCAGTGTAACATATATTACATTATAGATACGACTTCAACCCCTGATTGCGGCTCTATGTCCACACGTCCCAGTAAGTGCCCAAAATCTATCAATCCCACCCAGCTTTAACATCCACCATTACACAGCTCAAGGTTGCCACACACAATCCTTTATAGGTACAACTTGAACCTCTGATTGTGGCTCTATGTCAGGGCAATAGCCCTGAACCCCGAGCCATATGTAATTACAAGATACATATAGTCATGTGGGTATGCGGTGAAGGAGCGGAGCTGGATCACCTTATGTAACCAGTTTCCTACGTCCAATAACGATATTAGAGTTTGTGCTGATTTGCGTACTGACCGTGTTTTGGTTGCCAAATATATAATTGTTCACTGTCTAAACAACAATAAACACCCCCCAACGATCTCACCTGACGTATAGATCGTCTATGGATAAAATTCTATATTGACTTTACTATGATTTCTAGTCAATATTACACCTAGATATACCACTTTTCAGTAGGATGTGATTTTCCTGATAATTTACTGAAGGAAAACTACTAATAAAATAATTCCGCAATAAATGTTACTCAATACAGGAGTGACCAAACTGCTCTTTCTATCGCTTAGAGTGCGTGCTAGTTATCTAGCAGGTTCAGGATCGCTCACTTTTCTCCTGTGGTGTGATAACCAAGTATTGCTGAGAGATTATTCAATTAAGAAGTCCCTCCACCAAATTCTCACTAATTCTCACTATGACACTTTTGTTCAGCTGTGTCTAACTGACCCTAACTCACGCTTAGAGTGACGTGTTAGTTTTATATTAGCTAACAACTAATATTTGCTTTTATCTTTTGGAGCAAACAAACCAACCACTGGTGAGGAGAATTAAACTTTTATTTCTACCTGAGGTTTGAGAGGGGGCAGAAGCGGCAGCCTTTTATGCTTTTCAGAGGCCTCTCTACTCCCACGCCTCGCACTAGTTACATGTGCTACATTTGTATTATAGATAGTTCTAGAATGATATAGGGGCTTGGGCTGTGTAAGCTTAATAATGGACTTAGGACATGACTCAGCAATAAGTAATTCATTTCTTTGTCTTTTGGGCCGATCTTAGCGGGATCTTGTAGCGCTGAAGCTATGCTCTACACCGTCTTAATTACGAACGGTTATCTTTAGAAATGACTCAGCTATAAAGGAACTTTCTAGACTGTTCTCTAATTGACCCCTTTTTGTGAAGCCACATCATTACTAATGTTCTAGAGCCTTCCCAATTAATTAACCGATCCGCGGACTTCTGAATCACTTCATGCTTATAATCCGAGATCCAGATCATCAATCATTCCTTTGTTCCTATTTATTTGAGCTTAAAATCAAAAAGTTTTGATGAATCATGGGAAAATATACAAGATCCGGTTTTTTAGCATTTTCTCCTCTTCTGATGCGATCAAAAACTGTCCGCCCGCGCCGGGGAATACTCTGTCATATGGTATTCGGTCCGCCAGACTTCCGGGCGCCAATATATTTCCCTTGAGTCACATTACTTTTTGTAAGAATTAGCAAATAAATATATATGAATTATAAGGTGTTTCGCCGTTTGAGCAATATCTCCGTCAGTTTTGAAGCTTTTAGAATGAAACAAAACCGTGGATAAAGTTAAGAAACAGTTCTTTCAGATGGTAAAAAGATTACAGTCAAAAGTTTACTGGTTCCCGAGATATTTACATTTCTTTCCCAATGTTCCTTCTTATTCTGCCGTCTATGTGCTATTTTCTTGTTGTAGGGATATATTCTTTGAATATTACACCTATGCCAGGTTCTAGGCATGCTTGTAGTAGATTAAATCTCATGCTACATGGGTGTAGATAATTTATAATGATCTTCTAATGTCTGTCCAGTCTCATAAAGATCATGAGATCTGTTAAACGTCTGAACTTGTCACCTGTTCGTTGACTATTCTGATAGATCATTGTTTTATTCTTTGAATATTATTTCTCCTACAGCGGTAACTTCTGTTAACTGCTTACACACACCATAAAATACACATCTTTGTATCACTTATGGCTCTGTGTGCTGAGCTACCCCACTGAGACCTCACACTTTTTTAAGTGTATGAGGTGTGTTTTACAACACAACCCACCAAATCTATCAAATCTTAGCAACTTGACTTGGTAGTGCTGATGGCACCTAAACACGCCTGCAAGGGCAAGGTCATGTCTGCAGCGATGATAAAGAAAAATGAGCGGTTTATAAAGAAACTGCAATCTCCCATCATGGGAGATTCAAATCGACAGCCGTCATCAGACGACGATGAGGATCAACATGATCCGGAAAGAGCAACCACCTCAGGGCTGGTCCCTGAAGGTTTTAAAAACTTATGTGGAGTAAGTGCGGGGCCCAATACCCCTAGAACTCCACGTCACATTGATCTCACCCAAGCTGGGGAAGATCTCTCACCTCCTCAGGAGGTGATCAACTTGCGTGATAAACATGTAAGCACCAAACAATCAGCCTGAAAAGCTGATTGGATAGAGTCGCAGGAAACTCCAGGGCCCCACTATCCCCTGGAGTCCTCCCCCATGTCCCCAAGTCAAGCCCTAAAGGCAGACAAAGGGAAACAGAGGGAAGAACCTCCACATCGGCTATCTGAAAAACTACTGGACTTGTTCCAGGTTCCGTCTGAATGGAGGACAGAAAACGAAGACCAACTTCTCAGGCTAAAAGCCCAAGAAGGTGCAAAGAAACGCCCTGAGAGTAGGATCTCCCAGAGTGCGGAAGCTCCAAAAGAACTTCCGCTGTTTACACTACCCCATGCCATGCCAGACAAGGCAAGGTCGCCAACCTTGGAGGAGGTCTCCAAGATCATGAAGAGGAGGCAAACCGAAATGAGGGAGTTTGTTACAGGAATGGGTTCCGGGGAACCCAACCTGAGCCGTTCTGCTCACAGATGGAGGTGGCTGCATAGCTGTTGAAGGGAGAGCAGGAGGAGATCTGAGGCCAGGTGTACTAATGGTAACTTGGTGCTCCAAGGAGCGTACCAGCAGTGGGTGTGGTGACATGCTAGTGGTAACTTGGCACTCCAAGGAGCGTACTGGCAGTGGGTATAATGGGGGCTCCTTGAGGGAGCCACCTAACAGTTGGCCAGCAGCAACTTGGCGCTCCGGGGAGCGTACCGGCAGCAGGTATAATGGGGGCTCCTTGAGGGAGCCACCTAACAGTTGGCTAGCGGTGACTTGGCACTCATATGAGTGTACTGGTAGTGTGGGTAGTTGGCACTCCTTGAGGGAGCAGCCCAGTGGTCGACTATTGGTTACTTGGCACTCAGGGGAGTGTACCGGTAGTGTGAATTGTTGGGACAAGCGGGTTGGTTGACTACCGCACGGTAGTGAGTGACCGTGGGAATTTGGGCCCACAGGTATGTGGCTGAGCATCCTGGGGCTGCTTGAGTCACTTCTCCCTCCCAAGAAGGGAGGAAAGGCTGTAGGGCCTGGTAGGGTACTACAGGAAGGGTAGGAATGGGAGCTCAACCACCCAGTGGGGGGGTGGGAGCAGGAAGGGTGAGGTCTGGTGTCTGAGCACTCACCAGGTCGTTGAGGTTTCCTCATGGATTGTAAGAATATTGATGTAGACATCAATATTGACCAAGTCAGATGTTACAGGGAAGGTTTACAGGTGGTGGCACACTGGGGTGACAGTTACAATCACTGGGTGATAGTCTGAGATTGTATATTTGATAAAGAGAACAATTCCAGCATCTGCCTTATACATCATATGACTTCTAACTATCTAATATAAAAATCACAATGGTCAAAGGAAGTCCCTTGAAACTCAACAAATCCCCCAGCCAGCACCAAAACCCAGTGGGAAAGCTTGGCATGGGGTTTGACAAAGAAATAAAGTTGGAGGGGCTAAGGTTTGATTGTCTATAATCATGGACCATAAGATTCTAGGTCCATTCCCATAACAGAGTTCGCTGAGGAAGCCTTATGGAAAAGTAAGGAAAAACCAGCGAACAGACCCCTCTATGAAAGGGAAGCACCCTCCGCAATGGCCTCACCTAAACAAAGCGAGTGTGGAGTTTTTACTCCAAGAACCCTTTCTGGAACCCCCAGAAGCGGCAATGTCAACTGGGGAGAGTCACCAGCCAAATATCCTCCTGGAAAACCAGGAATTGTGCATAATAAATGCGATAAACTCGATCCAAAAAAAGATTGAGGAAATGAGCCATAATAGCATGGCTCATCTAGAGATAACTCTAGAAAGAATGGCCAACGCAATCGATGTGTTGACTGACAAAATCAGCAAGCAGACAGACTTGCTGAAGGAAATAAACTTCTCACAAAATAGTGAGGAAACAAAAAAATATCCCTGGGCCATGGGCCAGGACAAAACCAGAACTCGTGGAAAATTCACAAAAAGAACAACCAGTGAAAGTACACTGGAGTATCATCAGCGACTCGACAGAGACGCTAAGGAGATCCTTCTCCCAAGGATAGGAGAAGATGATGCCGATAGAAGGCACCATTCAGAAATCAGGAGGAGAATTGGCACGTACCAAAGGTTCGGCCAAACATCCACCTTTGACGAACCTCTCAAACAGAGAGGTAACACAACCACACTCTCTCAAAACAATGAGAGAATCCAGATACAACTTCAATCACCCAAAACTAAAGAAACGCTGCAAGGAAAATTCCCTCCAGCA